GAAGAAATTTCCTAATTAGAACAGAATATTGTATAATATTTACTTGATATTTTAAAAGGTTTATACATCTATGATCTTATATTAATGTGTTTGAAATCCTCTCTAGTTTTATGGTGTGTTGTTATGTAGTTGTATGATATTTAGTTCATATTTTCAAAGATTCTTACATATGTGATCTTATATCAATGTGTATTAAACCCTCTCTGATTTTATGGTGCATTGACTATACTTATACTAAACATTTCTTCAAGTGTACTTGCCTTTGAATCCAGTGAGTAGCCGTCTGTGAAGGCAGCGCCATTGGCTCTCTGACAGCCGCCTGGCATGTTCATTTTTATGGGCTCGAAGTTGAGAACAGCTGCATTCTTAGAAGTCAAAAGCGAGACCGGCGGCCAGAAGACTTGCTTCTAACTCTGGTTGTGGATTCTCCTGATTGAAGACTTCTCGTCGTCGTCTTCCTCTGGGTGAACTTTTCGTAGGGCGTTGCAAAAGTTTCTGATTATAAATTGAATTTTATTAGTTTGCTTGCGCGCCGCATTGATTTATGATTTCTTCTACAAAAGCCGGGTACAACTAGAACTTAGTTTTTTGTGGGTTGCCTTTAATTAAGTTCGAGTGTCAATATGATTTATGCTCTCCACCACACATGAGCGCTCTCTCGTCTATATAATTAAAGATTCGAAATCGTCTCAGCTTTCGGCTTTCCCTTGGGGGACTTCTCAGCAAATGCTTTTTTACAGTTGCGTGCGATTGCATTACGGGTGAAATTTGCCAACTTTTACAAAAGATCTTGGGTCATCGATAACCTTTTTGGCTAGGTTTTGGGTTGCTGCCGCCTTCAACTTGGAGGAGACCATTCCTGATGCTGCTGATGCTGATGCTGTTGCTGCTGACATCATCAAATGCGAATCCGAATCCACGTTCAAAGCTGGCAATTTCATTGAATGCCTTGGCGTCCATGGCATCCATTTGGGTTGGTTTTGATTACATAAATTTGGCGCCGTCTGCGATCGCGATGCGGTTCCATTTGCATCTTCAAAGTCCGCGTGGAGCGGTGTGGCTGGAGTGTGGCTTGGATCAAATGTGGGTCAGCGGTCGCTCTTCCACTTGGGGATTTGGGTGCGGCTCTGGACATCGCCATATGTAATTACAATAACTGCAACTTCCACTTCCATTGCAACTGCAACTGCAACGGCAACAGCATCAAAGCAAACAACACGATTCAAGTAAAATGTCTCGAAACCTGTCGCTTTTAATTAAAGGCCCCGCAAACTCCGACTCTAAGTAACTTTTCATGTTTCAAGTTATGCGCACAATTTTAAGCGACAGCCCCCCAACAAAGGCATTGAACACAAAAATAACTTTTGCATTTAGTCATAACTGCATTTAAAATGTTTGTAAATGTTTATGCAAAAAAAAAAATGAGAAAGAAGTACAACAAAAATAAACACACACACAAAGCCAAAAAATGAGGGGAAAATCTCTGGGTCTTTTTTTTTGGGTACGACCCACTTCTGTCATGTTGCACGATAAATACTTTGAGATTTATTGTCTGCCGCAGTGGCAGGCATAATTACAATTTATGCCCAAGGTGGTCCCCAAAACCCCGCCTTGTGCAATAGACTCCTACGACTCCCGTGTCCCGATCTCCATCCCAATTCCAATTTCAATCCCAATCCAAGTTCAAAAGCATGTTTGAGGAAGCTGTCGCCAAAGACAAAAGCCCCATACAAATTGGGAGGGAGCCAAGGAAGCCGTTTGCCTCATATGTTGTTTACCTGTCTCGCAATTGCCATTATTCTTGGCTGAATTGAAAGTGAATACCAGACAAACAATATTGGGAATATGAAAGCTTGAAAATAGGAGATCGAAGATCTTATACTCTATTGGGAAGCTGTAAGTATTTATTCTTTATGGGAGTTTATATTACATGGTTATGTGAGAGTCTAGAATGAGTAAATGTATTTAATTTGGTATGTGATCATATTTAAAATGCATTTCAGTTTACTTAAATTATGTCATCCTTATTACCATATAAAGTGTTCAGATTTACAATTCTTGTTTAAGATACCTAAGAGTTTTCAATCTTCAGGTTTAACTATAGCATTTATATTGTGTTTAAATACCAAATCATTTTCTAATGTCTTAATACTTTGTTAATCACCTTTTAATATCCTTTGTCAAGACAATACTAACCAGAACAATTGCTTAGAATTCCATATAATGCTCACTTGTAGCTTTCTATACAGGTTAAAGATGAGTTCTTAATGGTTGTCAAGTTCCATTCTCATTTTTAATGGCTTCATAACGTCTTCATGCTAATAGAATATAGGAAATTACTAATTACCAGATAAAATTCCTCTTTAATTTTCTACAAGAACTTACTCTTTATACACTTTTTCCCCAGACTAAATTGGGCAATTGATATGGCCAAGAAAATCTGGGGTATTTGCAGTGTATCAAGTGGCGAAACTTTCGCATGGGGAGGCCCATTACATCATGCAAAGACGACTTTGGGTCTTGAGCACTTTTGGTCTATTGTTGAGCACATAATTAAGCACCGCTTAGCTTATGTAATTAATGTCAGGCCAAATGGCAGCGTCAAGAGCCGCGTGGAGAGTCTAATGAACCAGCTGCGTGTGCTGATTTATATGCGACTTTTCATGTGGCTCACTCGGCTGTTTGTTGTTGTTAGCTGTGTTTTGTTTGTTGTCTCTTTGACCGTTTGTTTGTTGTTTGTTTTTCCCGGCCAAATTGTGTTTTGTCACCGTCACCGACGGACGTCTCTCGATCGCGCACTTAAACTTCGTTTATGCGCAGGCTCCGAGCTCAATACTCCAGATACTTGGAGCACTTGGACCATGTGACATAAGTTGCCATTGCCATGATATATGAATATGACAAAGCGACATGGACAACTTTATTGGCTCATGAAAAGCGCTGTCACTGCCTGACTGACATAAATCAGCGAACGGCAGAAATACTCGTAGGCACTCGTATATTAGGGTAACCAACAGAGCACAAATCCAATCCAATCCAATCCAATTCAAAAAAACCGAAAGCTAAAGTCCAAAAAAATAAATCAAAAATCAATATTCGTTAGTTTTTGGCAAAGGGCTATGTTAGCTGTCATCTCTGGCACACTCTATAGTACACAGAAAAACAAGAATTGAATAATGCTAATTAAATTATTTATTTTTCCAAGTAAAATAACATAAATTTAAGGAAATACCTGTACCTACCTACCTACCTAAATACTTCTAACATATTATTTACTTATGTACTTTACATATCTTAATGTTGTTGTTAATATGCCTTAAGATTAATCTCTTAATTTTCGGTGTAGAAGTGTGTCCAAATCTAGCACAATCTGCATTTGCATAGCCACAGAATATATATATGCCAAATCGATATCAAAGCACTTATCTGATCGGCACTGTCAACCCAGCCGGACATTTCGCTTTATTCACGGGCGAGGGGCAAAAACCCATTTCCCATATGGAAATGAGAGCAACAATTGAACAGTGTTCTATAAATAATAATAACCGGACTGGAGTAGAGCAGAGCAAAGCTTTTACTGGCCAACAGACACACTCTCCACACGCCATCTAGTGGACAAACAAAGCGTATCAGGACACGCTACTCCTTGCACACACACACACACTCGTATATACATTTACGTACTTGAAGCCTTGTTCTTCACTTTCACTTATTTTGTTTTATTTTTAGGCCAGGTATTCAAAGGTAGAGAGGGTATATTTGAATTCATGATTCTTATGAAGGATTATAAATTATAAAATATAAGCAAAAATATATATATTAAGATTATGAGATATTAGAAGGCAATGCTTTATTTGGTATATTTGAATTCATGATTTTTATGAAGGATTATAAGATTATTATGAGATTATGATAAGGCAAAAGGATATATATCATATTAAAGATTATGAGATTATTAGAAGGCAATGCTGTTTAACATCTTTAGTGAAAATATATTCGACTATCGAGAACAATTTTATTAACCGTATAGTTTGATTGGTATTTATAAATATTTAATGATTATCAATTACATTGAATTAAGATACATTGAAGATTGTATACTATAAAGTCATAACGAGCTCTTAGTAATTGTGAAAATAAATTTTAGGATTCTGTATTCAATGTATCATTTATAAATAATACTATTAATTAATTATACAAATATTATTAGGTCTGCAATTTTATTACATCTTATTAAATTCATTCAGGCAATACACTGTATTAACTATATATTGTGTATTGTTAAGTACTATTAATAAATTAAATTTGTTTTACTGTTGTACAATAATTCAACAATATAATACCATAAATAAAGTAAGCTCTCAAACTAGGCACATTCCCTTAGCAAGTAATAGTTTTTCAATAGTACACCTTCCTGAACTCTATATAGGATATACCCAAAGTCCAATTATAAATCCAATCCCAGTCCAGTTCCACCTTAGACCTAGAACCCTTTTTGGGCTCTGGTCTCTAACTACTATAACTAAGTGTAAGTGTGCGCTCAACGCGCATGACCTCAACAATTTGACTTCACTTGAAGTGCGAACGCACATGCAAGCCATGGAACTTGGAGTTGGAGTTCGGAATGGAATGGCTCTTGGCCAGCTTAGAACGGTCCGGTGCGGTCAGGTCTGGTCCTGTTGCGTGCCCAGCAAATGGCAATGGTCAGGACAGGGCTGGGAGCTGGGATGAGGGGGAACTAAAGCCGAGGGGTGGTCGGAGTGCCGAACTGACCCTTCACTTTAGCAGCGAATGTTTTGGGTCAGTGCTCAGTTGCGTCGAGTTCGTGACCAAAGGCGGGCGTACTTCTTTTTTTATACCCAAAAATTCATATTCATATTCGATATTAATAAATCTACGGCGGCTGTGACTATTCTGCATCGATTCGCCCATTCGATCGGCATGATTCGGCGATTGTCTGGCGAGCTGTGAGAGCCACCAACAAAAATCCGGAGGAAGTCATGGGCTGTGCATCCAGCACTCCCATGGTTGCAACGGCGGGCAGCGAAATGCTGAAAGCCGCCACCCATGTCAAGCAGAAGGGCGAGGCCGCCGTCGAAGGTGTGTGTGGTGTGTGTGGTGTGTGTGTGTGTGCCTGTGTGTGGTGTGTGTGTGTTTTGTTACCAATCCGGACTAGTCATTGGTTTCTGGTTGGCAGATGACATTTAAGAGTGGGTCATTCAAAAGGGAAATTCCAGGCTGCCCACAGAGCGTATACTTGATCTTTAGAGCGGATACTTGATATTAGTTGTTTGTGCAGAAAAAGAGTATTAAGTACAAAGGAATTGTGGAGTATAAATTCGGAATAACAAGCTTTTAATTTGGAACAACTAAAAATAGTAAAATACTTAAAATATGCACAAGTATTTAGAGATGACCCTGACTTTTAGCTTTACTTTTTAACGAGTTTAAAGTTTGAATATCAAATGACATTTAAGTGTAAACAGTTTTCAATTTCAAAGCTCCGGCAATCTTTCCTCTTTCTTTACTATTCCGGATTAAAAACGAGATGAAAAACCCTTGACCCATTAGACTTTAATCAATATTTCGTCGAGTTAATTAATAACCCGCAACGAGCCAAAGTAAATGCCACACACAAAGAATTTCGATATATTGCCATACTTAGTATATTGTACGTGGTGAGTGTGCTCGCATTTCGCATTATTATAATAACAAGCCACGTAATAAAGGACAATTGGCCAGCGCAATGCGTGCCGCGGAGCCTTTCGGCCTGATTTCTGTTTCCAGAGACCGCAGTGAAAGCTGGTTCCATTACCCTACCATATTTATGTATATATTTATTTATTTAACGCATATGAAGAAAAACGACTTGGTTGCGTGACCGAACCGTCAACGAATTAGAGCAAAACATTGACTTAAAAATATTATACGTACTAGATGAGCACTGAGGGAAAGTGAAGAAAGAAATGTATGATTGGATAAAAGTATAATACTTTCAATACATTCTAAGTTGCACAATATATCTTAGATAAAAGAAACTATAAAAAGTATCCTTATCTAATATTGTGCTAACTTTTGAAAACTTTTTGTGGCTAGTATTTTTCTCACTGTGTAACCCCTCAGGAAATGGCAAATGAAAGTGTTTCTATTTACCCAAATCCTTGTAGACGCCTCTCAGACGCTGACCACCACTCTGGACACGGCCAAGGAGACTGTTGGCACAGCAGTGGCGGGTATTACCAATGAGCTGGGCAATGCCTTCAAGGAGGGAACCCAGGCTCTGGACGAGGCCAAGCATAAGGTGATGGAGGGTCTTCACCTCGAACAGCCATCACAGGAATCCCAGGAGAAACCACCTGCTGAAGATGGAGGGGCTGCGGCTGCGGTAGATGTTGCTGAGATGAGCTCATCCCGGGCTCCAACACCCCAACTTAAAGCCGATGCGGATAGCCTGAAGACCTCCACACCAGAGCCGGAGATTGAACGAGCTCTGGCCACCGAGGACGAGAGTCCACCAACGCCGAAACCCTCGCTGGAGGAGATGGCACAACTAAGTGCCGAGGTTTCCCAGGCTCAGGATCCGACTCCAACGGAGGCTTCTGTCAGTGAAACACCTGCAGTCCAGGCTCCGGCCACCGAATCCTCCGCGCCCGTGGAGTAAGTAAGCCTAGAGAGCACCTCCTGCAGCATCGCAAAAAACGTAATCTGTAATCAGTAATCCGCAACCCGTAATCCGTATTCCGTAGCCCCATCGCAAATCCGTAACCTGTAGCGCCACTGCACCTGAAGTTATCGCGTAGTTTATCGCTTATGATTCGTAGTTGCCGTCGTAGAGTCTCGATACATTTATTACTATATATAGCCTAATCATTATATTACTCTTCCCTCTCTCTCTCTCTCTTTTTGATCTATGTATGTAAATTGTAAATAAACTATCTCTTCTTCTATGTACATATCATATACTCTGCCTTTGTTTAATTGCGATACCAGCAAAAACTAAAATAACAAGAACCGCAACAGCAAAGTCTTGTACGTAGTATTGTGGTAATATTTTAAAAATATTCTACACAATTATGAATACTGTTTTCGGTTAACCGAAAGTGCTTTTGCAAAACTAAGTAAGAAGAATTTAATTTAATGTGTTTATAAATATATTTAATCCTTTAAGAGACTAACATTTAATGTATTAAATCTATTTATATTATCCTTACTTACTGTCATGTTTCATGGCACTGAGCTAAGATGTTTAAATGAAACTTATGGGGGTAATCATAGCCTATTTTGATTCTCAGAATAGAGGACAGTCCTAAATAATATTAATATTAAGAGCTAAAGAATTTCATGAGCTAAAGCCATTTACTTACTCCGTCATAAGGTTTAATATACTTAAAAGTTTTTAAGATCCAGAGATAATTAACCTAAAATAGTAAATCAATATAACGAAGACAAATATATAACCATGATCTCTTGAATCTTTTGCAAAAGTTCACTTAACAAAGACACTCACATATTTACCACACATATTGAACACCTCACAATAAAGGACAAACCTTTCAAATTAGCTCCAACTAACACTCCAACATCTTTCTACACCTAACTCCAAACACACACAAACTCTCAGGAGTCGCAAAATACGTCGTCGATTCGTCCAGAAGAAAAAACCAGAGAAGGAACAGGAACAGCCAAGACCCAACACCACCGAATGGGAGAAGTTGCAGACCAACTGGCCAAAAGCAAAAAGTTCAAGCCATATGAGAGCTTCGCCCACAGTCACAACAAGTTCTCCGTGTACCAGGACCACACAAGCTGAGGGACAAACCGAACCATTACGATGGTCACTTTAGTGGAGGCAACTCCCTGAGTGCCTCCCAGTCGGATCTGTCCAGTGGCCATGTGACGCCCGCTCCGGCAAGACGAGGTCAGAGGAATTTGCCAAGTTTGTGGGCTCTGAGCAGCCGATAAGTGTGTCACGGAATAGTTCCCGGCTCTCGAATCCCGCCGCTTCCAGGACCTTTGACTTTAATCCACAACGTGATCGCATCAGTCTTCCAATGGCCACCAGTCGCATCGGTTCGGGAATCCAGAGGTTACCAGCCGAGAGGACTTCCGGTTGGGGTCGTGGCAGACCGGCACCCTTGGAGGAAGAACCCAGCTTTGGCCGGAGGATGAGCTTAGGTCTGGTATCGCAGCCCCTACGGCCGGATAGAGAGAAATTCACGCCCTCTATGCATCGTAGAGTAATGAAACCGATTACTCCAACGAAGGAAAAGTCATCAAAGAAGCATCCTTCCAAGAATATCTCTTCCAGAGAGTCTTCCCTCTTAGAGTTTGAGTCCCTAAAAACGGATAAGAGTCCTTCCCGGGTAGCAAAACCTATGACAAAGAATGTAGTACGCTCCAGCGAGCCACCTTGTACGGAGTTCGATTCCTTGAAGGGCGATAATAGTCCAAAATCTTTCGACAAGCAAAAGAAATCTCCAAAGAAATCTCTTCCAGAGAATCAACTTATATGGAGTTTGCTTCTAAAACAGTCCCAAAGAGTCCTTTGAGAACTCAAAAGCCTTTGGCAAAAGATATCCTGCGATCTAGAGAGCCATCTTACACTGAGTTTAGTTCCATTAAAGGAGATAGAACTCCTTCAAGGGTTGAAAAAACTCTGGGAAAAAATATAGGACGATCCAGAGAGCCCTCTTTTACTGAACTTCAAAACCACAGAAATGAAAAAAGTGTTTCAAGGGGACAAAAGACAGTACAGCGATCCAGAGAACCATCTTTTACGGAGTTTAATTCCATTAAATCAGAAAAGACTCCCTTAAGGGTAGCAAAATCATTACCGAGGAATGTAGGTCGATCTAGAGAGCCTTCATTTACAGAGCTTGAATATCTGAGAACGGAAAAGAATGCTTTACGAGCACAGAAACCATTGGCAACACAACCTCTGCGATCCAGGGAGCCATCTTACACTGAATTTAGTTCTTTGAAAACAGATGAGAGTCCTCTAAGGATAGCTAAACCTGTGGGTAAAACTATAGTGCGATCCGAGAGCCCTCTTATACTGAATTTGAGTCAAAGAGTTCCAAAGAACTTCCACTTGGTGAGAAAAATCGTTAAGCAAGGACATTATTCGCTCCAGAGAGTCATCTTATTTGGAATTTGATTCATTTAAAGATAAGAACCTTTATTGGCGACAGATTTATAAGCTCTCGAGATTCATCTGATATTGAATTTGATTCGTTCAAGACTCCCACCAAGCAAACAAAATCTCCCAGCTTTAAGGAACCCATAAATATATCCCCAAAGCAACTACCTCATAGAGAACTTAGTCCAAGTTCTGAAGTCAAATCTTTAGAGTATAAAGACCAGAAAATATCATCTGTAACTGCAACACCTCAAAGGAACAAAGTCCCAGAATCTGTTGCTTCCACCTCGAAAATGCCTTCGCCATCAACTTCGCGTATTTCTAGCGCCAAATCCTCGGACAGCAGCAACACAGATGTGGTTATCCAACCCATGAGCAACCTTAACCAGGATACGCCCAGTATGAAGTCCTTCTCCCAGTCACCGGACCAAGTGGTGATGGAGGGATATGTGGATTCAGAGCTGGAGGCAGCACTAGCAAGGTTAGAGCTCCTGCGAGGATCCACAGCCACATTGCACTCCGTAAGGTCCTGCAGTCCTGGCCGTCATACTTACACGGCTGCCTCCCTTCTCAGCTCCCGACGCACTTCACCCTGGGTAATGCGAAAGGATTATGGTGGTTCCCTCATTGGCAAGGAGAGTTCTCACAAGGTGGCACAGCCACCATCCATTCATCAAACACTCGAACGCTGCGATATATGCTCCAATGAGTTTCTTTTAAAGTGAAGTTAGTTTTTGATATTTAAAAGATTTATCCTTGAAATTCTTATAATATTTCAGTTATATTATAAGAATTACTGCCATATAAATATAGTTATTAAAGCTTAAGTCATTATTAGTAAATGAAGTTCAAGTGATAAAAAAAATATAAACCTTGTTAAAATAACCATATGCCTCAGTCTCTTGAAAGTATAAACCTGTTGTATTTTTACCAATAATTAAAAATATTATGAATTCAGAATCCAGAATTCTATAACGAAATACGAATAAATGATATATTTATTCTACAGAAAGCTTAGTTAGCCATACTTTATATAATGTTTTATACGATTCTTATAGTAGCAAATAAAGAGATCAAACTTTTACATAACCACCTACCCAAACGATAATAAAAACATTTTATAGCATTCGTTATGTTTTATAATTGCGAAACTTGAATTGATTTGAGCCAATTCTCATGAGCCCAAATCAAAAAGTGAATCGATTGCAATGGGCCCCCTTGATTTTCCGGCTCCCCTAATTGATGACTTAATAACGAAATTGAAATGTTTATCTTTGCCGTTCACTCAATTATTCTGCCACTTGAAGTTCGCTTTCGGTGGCTGTGGGATAGCAGTTCATTTTACGGCTTACGTTTTACGGTTTCGCGTTCCGTGATTCCACATGGCTTCCATGTCTCCCGTCCGTGACTTAATGAACTATTAACAGCAATGATAGTAATTTGTTTGTACCAAGCCTCAGTCTCAGTCTCAGGCTTCGACTTCGGCAGCGGGGCTTGCGAGTAAAATTGCTTTTGGCCAACACAACAAGTGGTCTTCATGGCACTTTTTGGCAAACAAATAGACAGTCGGACAAAGCGACATGCAGACAAATGACTACAGTGGATACAACCAGCAGCGGACATATATCTCGCATGGATATGGCAATGGTATATTTCGCGGGGGTGTTTACCACATCTGTCTGCCCCTCACACCGTTGCACCTGCTGCCGTCCGCAAATTGAGTTTCGACTGCAGCATCGGCATCTATTTTGGCACGATTTTCGAATTACGTTCATTGACTCGCAAAATGTTTGCTTTATGCCGCAATTAATTTGCCAAGCGGAAGAAACAGTGCCCCAAAGCGTCAAACAAAGAGCTTGGCAAGGTCGAAGTTAGGAACACTCTGGGGGTAAAGTTTGTTACCAGGGATTAAAGGAATATTAAGTATACTCTTAAGTACTCTATCCTTCAAACAGTATACAGTAAAATCTACCTACTTTAACTGCAAGTTTATATAAGTCTACAAAGCCTTTCCTTTCTTCTCATTTTGTTCATATTTCTTAAGATTGAGGCATACCCTTTGTAAGGGTATAAAAAGCCTCCATTAAAGGTGAGGGGTCTTAGAGTTGAAGGTCTTCTTGTGGCTTGTGGCGTGACATTGAAAGTGAAAGAACAAGTTTTGATGGGTTGCTTTGGCTCACCAGTGCTTTTTCGTTGGCATTTCTATTTTTAATGACTTTTTACATGGCCACTTTGGTTCATTGAACGCAGCCACGCACAAAACAAAACAAAAACACAGAAATAGGAGGAAAAAAACAAACTGCGCGCTAATGATCTATGAAGTGCAAGTGTTTGTACTTTTACTTTCATTTATCAAAAGTGGAGGCGTCATCTCTTTCGGTTCGGCCGAGACAGTGGAAATTAGCAGACGGCAATGCAAGAAATGCATTTTTAGCACTTCATTTTCTGGTTGTTGCATTTACTCACTCGAATGCCATGGCAGTTAGTTGGGTTTTCGGTGGTAAAACGTGCTTTTAATCAAATTTACATGTTGCCAACGTTGTTGTTATATGGTGAGCATACGCACTGTGGGCCGGCGATGGGGAAAAACATTAAAATCGGTGTGTTAAATTGATTTATGCAATTGTTGTTTGGTGTGGAGGGGAGCGGTAACAGCAGCTGATTTGTTTATATGTTTCGGAGGCAGCAACAAGCATGGTAAATCAATAAGTTTATGCAACAGGCGGCGATAAAATCAACGAAAATCACCGAAGACAATGCCTGCCACCCCAAGTTAACAGAGCTTCCTGCTACAATTACCAAAACGCTGCTGTTACAGTTACAGTTTCACAATTTAACATTTTTCGACCAGTTTTAACAGGCGCCCGTTGCAGTGCCAGCTGACTTAACAGTGCTCTGTGCGCAGGCGCATTTTTTTTTGTCGAAATTTATTTTTTTCAATTAATGATTTCCCTCCGCATTTCCATTTCAGTTTATGAACGGCAAACGCACTTGTTGCCGCTGCTGGAAAAACGAAATAGCAATCATTTGTTAGGCAAACATTTCTACTTTTCGGCTGCTTTCGTTTGGCCTTTTGCCAACATTTTGCATAACCTGGGTCAAGACGGAAATGCTGGAGGAGGCTGGCCATTAATAATCTTTGGCTCTCGGCTCCTGGCACTTTGGAGCTCTCTCAAGCTCAGCTGCTGCCCATGAAGCTGCTGGTGACTTCTTCTTCTTGGTGCGTTTTTGGAGGCTTTTGTTTATGCCGGTTGGCTTTAAATAAGCCCAAAGTTAGCAGGCAAAGTCAGGTCCAAAATTCCATTGCCAATCACAAAAAAATCAAGCAAAACCCTAAAACAATTTGCAATTTTTAGTAGGCAATTTATCATACTTTTTGAATGCATTTACTACTTCTGAACTACAAACATTTATATATTATTAATACAAACATTTTTGATATGGAAACAAGTAAAGAAGTTTTTAATTATATTAGTATCTTTCTTAAAAACTAGTAGTGAAATTTTAAACTTAATATATTAAGGTATCTGCTTGCTTTTCTTATATTTCTTGGCCCTGTGATCCGATCCCATCCCAAGTCGATGTCCCAATCTGATTTTTTTACTTCTTCTTTTTAACCGACCTGCACTCTGTGCTGCTGCACTGGAGGCTGGTGTTCAGTAGCCTCCGCATAATCCAAATTAAATTGTCAAGAGAAATGACAATTCAATACACACAATCTTGTTAAGCAAATATGAAAGAAAATACCAAAACAAAAAGCACTCTGTCATCCCTGCTCTCCAACAAAAGCGGAGACAGCAGGAAAGAGTGAGAGTGAGACAAAGGCTGAGACTGGCGACGGAGGTTCCAAAAAGTGTCAAATTAAACTGTCAGAGCGACTTTTAACCCATTTTCGTGGGCCATTACATAAGCTACTTATCAGTTGATAACTGGGCTCTCTCGGGGTGTTGGAAATACTAATAGGGAAATGGAAATGGAAATGCGAGTGCGTGGGCGGTTGTGTGAGTTCGTAGACTGTGGAGCATGGAACGGTCAGGCGCATAAATCAGCTTGGACATTCAGCCGCCACTCGAGTTCATTCGCTCATGCGTCAGGCCAAACAAAAGACTTGGGCAACGAACTGCAGATGCAGTTGCAGTTGCAACAGAATGCATCGCCACCCCCCGCCTCATTTTCCTTTCCCCGCCCGAATGTGTGAGTGTGTCAACAGCTGGTACCACTGCTGCTGCATATTCTTAACCAAGTGTGTCTAGCCCTACCCAATATATCTCCCCCACCGAAGGCACCGCCTTCGGCTTATATGCCACTGACTATGCCAGTGTCTCTGCCTTCAACTCCACCTCTCCCAGTCGCATTCCCATGTGAACTGCGCTAATTCGTGACTACTTTGTGCTGCGACTGCTGAGGACCCCTACATAAGCACAAGTAAAAAATACACACCAAGAAATGGTTGAAAATATCTTTATGTAAATGTTAATCTTTTGGAGTATTTCAGTAACTTGAAGTGTATGTAGAATTGCCTAAGAATATTATGAATACATCTTTATCAACAGCTTTGTTACTCTTCGCATGGCATAAATATTTACATAATATTATTAAATGATAGTTTAAATATTTTAATATATTTTCAATATTTTAAGCTATCGTAAAACAAAAGACTTAGGCAACGAACTTGTACATTTTAATGCCACTTTTTACTTAAGCAACTGCAAAACGTTTTTAATTGTGTTTATTGTTAAAAATAGCTTCAAAATTAATATCGAATAAAATAATTATCTTAAATTTTTGCATATTTTTTTCCGTCGCAAAACAAAAGACTTAGGCAACGAACTTGTTCTTTTTCCTATCATTGATTTTTACTTATGCAAAACTAATAGTTTCAACACAAAGTGAAACGTTTTTACTTGTTTTATTTGTTAAAAACTTATAAAATGAATATCATGATAATTAAAGAGCTATAAATTTTCAATAATTTGTCAGAAGTAAAACAAAAGACTTAGGCAACGAACTTGTAATGTGACTTTTTACCTATTATTTACTTACTTTTACTTTTTACTTATTATTTATTAGTAAAACGTATTTATTGGTTAGATAGAGTTTAAAAATTAATATCATATAAATTAACGAGCTTTAGTTTTTCCATACAATACCAAATATACTTCATTCCCAGCCGGTGATGGGTATCTTATTTCTCTTATCTCCATTGGTATTAAATTAATAAAAAATTCTCGATTACAAATGGCTAAAAGATCAGATATTAAGCTAAACTGATATTTAGGTATAAAGATATAGACAATTAAAACTCAAAATACCCCAAAATAATAATAATATTTTTTCTCTCTATGCTGGACAATGCAAAGAACCTATGCTGAAAGCCCTAAAAACCCGCCGTAATCCGCTTGCATCTCCCCTTGGTACCCTGTGAACTAGGGAAACACATCTGTGATAGATTTGAATGACCCACTCTCAAGGCTCGAACCCGAACCCGAACCCGCACTCAGGCTACTGCCTCAAGAGCCTGGCGCTTGTGACTCAGAGATCGGTGCGCTATATGTCCCATTTCGAAGGCGACTCCTGCCCACGCCGCAGGCGCAAACACTTTACTTTTGTTTTCAAGACAGTCGCAGTTTCAGTTCCCAGTTGCAGTTGCAGTTGCAGTTGTGCCCCCAGTTAAAGTCACAACAGTCTCCCAAAGTAAACTTACTATATACTCGTTCGATTCGGA